TTAACTATTATATGTGATGTACGTTTTTGGGGGTGGTTAATGAAAGTGTTCTAAAACGCAACATTAATTTCTTGACGACCTAATATTTCAGTTGAGACCTTATCTGTCATCAATTTCTGTTTCAGCTGAAGAGTTCTGGTATTGAACGAAAGAGAAAAAAATATTTAAATTCTATTTTTACACATTTCTGATTTGAAATCCGTAATGGGATGACTAATAACATCTGTATAGATAAGAGTGATTTACATCTAGAATATTAGAATTATAAATTTGAATAACATATGAAATTTTCTTAAATAATATGTTTTACATATTTCATTATCTAATCAATAATCTAATCTAATCTAATCTCTTTTCGGTTTTCAGATGTCAACAGAAAGAAACATTTTAGTGTCGGTTGGAGTATTGTTGACTTTAGTGCTGGAAATCACCGGCAGGTGTCCAGAACAATGTAGGTGTGAAATACAGCGAGGAAAGAAGACCGTAATATGTGGCGAGGGTGGTATGACAGAAATTCCAACCACCAATATGGCCACTGATATACAAGTTCTTATAGTGAAGGCTCCACAAGATAATCCGAACTTCTTGACCATTGGTCGAATATTCTTGGATTTTACAGCCTTAGAAGAGGTACATATCACACATTCGCGTGTTCCTGCTATTGGTCACAGCTCGTTCTGGCCTGGCACGAACCTGCGGATTTTGAACCTGAGTCACAACAATATTAGCCAACTTCATGATTTTGACTTCAACGGGCTAATCAATCTTGAGATTTTAGACCTGAGCGACAACGTCATTAGGGCAACACCTTCAGCACCGTTTCGTTTTCTCTCGAACCTCACCACTCTCACACTGGCAAGAAACGAGTTGAAACGTCTGGTTCCAAGAATATTTTATATGTTGAGAAAGCTGGAACGACTGGACTTGAGCAGTAACCCCCTAGAAGACATTGATCCAGAAAATCTCAAAGATCTACGACCTTTGAAAAGCTTAAGCCTAGCTAACTGTAAACTTTCTCGTTTGCATTCTTTGATATATCAGCATTTACCAAACCTAGAGGAACTAGATCTAACAGACAATTTCTTCAACTATTTTGCTCCTGAAGAGTTCCGACACTTGAAGAAACTTCGAATACTGTACTTAGATGGTAATGAGATGAGTGTCGTTGTAGACAAAGCATTTAACGGTCACTACTTTGACTATCTAGGTCTATCGAGGAATCAAATAGTGAGTTTTGATTTGTGTGCCTTTTGTAATGCGAGCATAAATGCCCTAAATATTTCGAGAAACCAATTTGCATCTTTTAAAAGTGACATTTTAAAACAAATGACATTCAGCCTTCAAACTCTAGATATGGGATTCAATAATTTGGCTGTAAACACAGTAGCAAGCGTTATCCAACCACTTCATCGACTCAGGCGGCTGGGTCTTGCTGGGCTGGCCCTCAGCACACTCCCCCAAAACATCTTTCTCACCAGCAGAGATCTGCGTGTTCTCGATCTGTCACAGAACGAACTGTCCACTTTTGACCCCAACATTTTGAAGCCTTTAGGCAAGCTGGAAGAACTGGATTTGTCCGGTAACTTGTTCCTAGGACTAGAACCGGAGTTGCTGGACCAGTTCACTAACATGACAAGACTCTCCAGCGTTCCATTACATTCCAATCCGTGGACTTGCGATCAATGCCACATTCTTCCCATTCTCAGGTGGCTCAACAGTTCCCTAGGTAACAGAAAGGTCTGTCGAAGGGACCACACGTGTTTCAAATGTGTCCATCCTGAGGCCTTGGCGTTTAGAGAGATCAGATCTCTTTCCATAAATGAAGTTCCATCATGTGGGGGCCCAGAAAGTCAGTCCAGAACCTTAAACTCTGGACCTTCAATTGGAATCATTATTGGAGCTTTGCTTGTGGTTATTGTGTTGCTGGTCCTTGTGACTCTTGTCCTTATTTACAAAAGGCAAGGTGCGGTTTATTACACGCACGAAGAAAAAAGAAACGAAAGTTATTACTATGAGACCTCTGTTGCGGGTGATATAAACGGTGGGCATAAAGATGACAAATCCTTTGGGTTTATTGCCACTCTTGACAAAATCGAGGAGTTAAGCGAGGATTATCCAAGTAAGCCTAAAATCCGCATTACTTAAGCTTCAAGCCCGGAAACACTATGTGACTTGCTATGTATATTGCATTAAATGACTGGCGAAAAAGTGCCTGAATGTTACATGACTGTTTTGTTCAGTTAAGCCTAAAGGTGAAATTTTTTTACGTGGGAAAATCAAGTAAAACAAATAAAGCATCTTATATTTCGTAATGTAATATATCCAGTAAGGAGTTGATTCACTCTATCTGGTTATCATATCATTAGGAAAATTACCCTGGGTTATAAAATGGACAACTAAAGTTAGTGGAATGAATCTGAAGACGTGATGGTCGAAAAGTTCTGAAAGCGTGTTCTTTTGAAGAAATCTGGAGTTTTATGTGAGAGATACGACACGTTTATTTTAGCCTTTAGATAAAGATTGTTTAAATGTAATTTTATAAAGCATTGAATACCTGTATATATAATGAACATATATATAAAAGAATCTTAAAAGTATGCCGCAAAGTAAAGAAAAATAAGTTATATATTATATATAAAAACATAGAGAAAAATGATAGAACAGTTTAAAATTATTCTGTGTGAGACACACACACCGTAAGTAGGTTGTTTCACTTGCGTCTGTGAGTATTCTTTCCAGCGTTCTCTCTCGAGATGTATGACAGCCAGAAGTATATACAATGGTATCCCCCAATTGTAAACTGTTCGTATATACGTCTTTTACTTTGTAATGGAAACCTGGACGTTACTGCTAACTGTGTCGACTATGGAGTGTTCTCGGAGATGTTGAAATATGATGATAGGGTTCTTGTATTTAATGGATGACCAAGCGGGTGTTTAAATGTGTTGATAAATTCCGTATATTTAGTGGATGATTGAGAGGGTGTTTAAATTTGATGATAGGGTTCGTATGTTTAATGGATGATTAAGATGGTGTTTAAATTTGATGATAGGGTTCGTATGTTTAATGGATGATTAAGAGGGTGTTTAAATTTGATGATAGGGTTCGTATGTTTAATGGATGATTAAGAGGATGTTTAAAAGTGATGATAGGGTTCGTATGTTTAATGGATGATTGAGAAGATGTTTAAAAGTGATGATAGGGTTCGTATGTTTAATGGATGATTAAGAGGATGTTTAAAAGTGATGATAGGGTTCGTATGTTTAATGGATGATTAAGAGGATGTTTAA